TTATAACTCAAATGTCACTTATTATACACTCGAAACTACCTATTATCCAAATGGTACCTCAATTCACATACTTCAGTGTCTGTCTATCTCTCTCAGACCTCAAACTGCAGAGCTTGCTAAGGCTCTATAGATGCTTTTTTCTTCTCCCTCACCTCACTGGGGCTCAGGCGCTGCAAAGAAGTCTTTAGATCAATCCAACGCCCTTCCCTGCGACTCCCGCGAGGGTTATACTGGCAGAAGGAGACGTGGGGGCGCATCCAAAGAGGGGAGACCGCTGTGCTGGAAAATGTGTAAAAGCCAAAGTTTAATAAGACTTAATTAATCCTAACTAGCCTCATAACTTCGTCCACTATTAAGTCTACTGATCCCGATTCACTGTTCTCTCAAGCTCCCATCATTCCACCTCCCAGTTTCCCATATCAATGACCCTCATGAACCTCCATTCATTCATCCCTTAGAACTACCCACCAATCAGCTCGCGACCCCATGAGCTAGCCCCTCAACATTACTCAACCAGATTTTCTGCGGGATGCTGAGCAGACCATTAGGAGAACGGCCGAGAAAAACACTTCCGCCTGGGACCTACTAACTGTCTCTGTCGCTTAAACTGGGACGGCGGCTAGTTCTACGCATGCTCAGTGATGCCTTTGAGACCGCATCCGCCAATAGTCAACATGGCGTCGTGAAGGGGACCAGAACGAATGCAGGAGCAGAGTGTAGCCGGCAGCTTCGGTGACGTAATGATGGGGAAAAAAAAATGTCTACTTGTGCTGTCACTCCTTTTCTCCCTGGTCAGCGTGGCAGAGCTGGTGTTTATAATGCAGAGATAGCATTTCTAGGACGTGAGGCACCGTGTGTGTGTGTGTGTGTGTGTGTGTGTGTGTGTGTGTGTGTGTGTGTGTGTGTGTGTGTGTGTGTGTGTGTGTGTGGTGTGTTAGGTGGAGAAAGGAAGTGTCTAGTTAAGAAAAACATTCTAACAAGGAGGAAACAGTGTGTGTGTGTGTGTGTGTGTGTGTGTGTGTTAGGTGGAGAAAGGAAGTGTCCAGTTAAGAAAAAAACATTCTAACAAGGAGGAATTTTGTGTGGTGAGTTCAGAGGGCAGCCACGGGTTTGCAGATGTAATCAACAAGAAGACAATGCAGGCAAAATGTTTTACCTGCTTTGAGTAGGAGTTTAGGGGAAAGCCCCCAGCTCCATCCATTGTCTAGAACTGTGAGTTTGTGTTCTAGTATATAAAGGACCATAGGACTCTGTAGGCAACAAGCTGAAAAATTAACAGGCACATGGGGCCACAAAGATAAACTGAGAAGAGTATTACAGTGTATTATGTAGTGATTGACAGTGCCTCTCCCTCTCCAGAGAAAGCAGTCTGTCATTGTTTGGGGAATGGGAAGGTGTGGACATTGGCTATATGGTGTAGGACTTTCTGAACCAGGGACAGTGCTTTCATATTTTATTCTGGACATCATGGAGTACATTAAGAGAGATAAAGAAATCTAACAATGTATATCTTAAATAAAAATGTAGTGAGCTTAAAATTACATATAAAGCTGCAAGCAGTTACTTACTGTGCATTTCACTGCTCCCTTGCAGTATACTCAATAAACTGTTCTTTTTAAATGGCACAGGATAGCTCAAATAAAACCCTCAAGTCTTAGTGCTACCCATCAGCTGGCTGGTGGCCCTTTCCCCCAGACAGAAGTAGTAGGCAAGCTAGAAGATTTCCAATTAGTATTCTTTGGCAATTTTTTTTCTGTGTTTGATGGCAAGTCAGGTGGTGGCTGCAGCAGATGGTGGCACAACTTCAAACAGTTTGTACCACAGCTTTTGCTACCACAAAACTTGGAGAACTCAAAAACACCCTACAACTTGAAGTGGAACATTTCCTCAATTGGCCTACCAGTAGAATTGCTGTGATGGCTGCTGAAGAGGCAAGGCTGGTTCAAACACAAGCCACAATAGCTATTATTGGTACTAAGAGGCAAGGCTATGATTGCCTAAAGAAAATAGCCATGATCAGTGACAATACTTATAGAACTAAAGGTTTTCATACCAGAAGCCTGCACAAAGACTATGCCACTAAAGGGTACCACCTGCTGCCACCACCACTTGTCTATTCCTGCCAAATACTGAGATAAACAAAATCTTCCATAGAATAGTGCTTGAAGACATTGTTCTCACCTAGTCACAATTTCCCTTTTTGAGTTTTTGTATATTATTAGCTTGCACTTTTAATAGTAGGTCTAAGTATAGCAAGACACAAATGAGTATAAAACAGTTCTAATAAATGGGTCTTCACCATACCCACATGGTTGTAATACTTCATATGTATATACATGTTGACAGCTACTCTCCCACGACAGCAGAATCCACTTCACTCTTGGGACCAACCTGATATATCTTTCATTCACATTGTTTTAATTAGTATGGTTCTAATGGTCTATTCATCCTACCCAAGACTTCTATCTGGGCACAAAAAAAGTACTCCAGCCAGCTGTGTGACATGGGATACGGCTCTTAATTTCTCTGTGCTGTTTCCTCACCTTCCTAATCTATAAAATAGGGATACAAATGTCTGTCTCATTAAGGTGGTGTGTAGGATGTAGAACAACGTATGCTACATGGAGTGAGTTTGATCATCATTTAAGTAAAATATCACACACACACACACACACACACACACTTTTTTTTCAGAAAAGGCTATTTTAAGCTGGCATGGAGGTCAGTAATGTGGCAGACCAGCAGTCCCATTGTAGGAAGTTTGGAAGAGAGGTTTTAGAGCAATAAAAAGGAAGCCCAAAAGGCTGGAGGGTGGGATGAGTCCAAAGTATTCAGAAACACATGCTTGGAGAAGAGGTAGAAGAAAGGCAAAGGTTGCAATTTTCTGAATAATTCAGAAAAGACTTATGATCCCTGTGTGGCTACAGCCTGTAGGGAAAATAAGAAAGGGAAAATTGCAATTAAGAAGTGAATTGCAAGCTGGTTTTCAGAAGAACATATTTTAAAGAAACAAGAAAGCCAGTGAAGAGGTTCTGGCAACAGACACAGAAAGTGAAATAAATTTGTCCTGTATGTGCCATACACTGTGTGAAGTACATACTGAACTGCTTCAAATAGTTACTACAATAGTCCCACTGCTGTCATCTATTAGATAAAGAAGCTGTTTTCCAGAGATCAGTACTTGCTCAAGGTCACAAGTTCCCAAAGTTGGATCCATAACTTCCAACAACTAATACTCTACTTTGTTTATTTATTATTCTAAAGAATTTCTGGAAGGTATCTAATTACATAAGCATTTTCCTGCTTAGAAAATGTGAATGAGGAAGTTCCCATGTAGGATGTGGGAGAAGTATCATGCCCGGACCTTTTCTCTGAAAATGAAAGGCTGTAGATTTCTTCCAGGTTTCTGTGGTTTGATGAACCACAGAAGCAGTGGACCAAGTGATTCAACATCTGAAACAGCTGAGATGATACAGCCTTATGGACTACAAAAACAGGAACTTGGCCAAGTTTCTGAGTTTTGTCATGATCCCCATGGTATGGACAGTGCTCCCTATCAGCAGGAAGCAGTTTGGAATGACCAATGCCTAAATATTGTTTAAATATTTGTTTTCATTTATACAGGGTTGCTTATAAATGGTAATGATCACAGTCAATCTCTTTCTAAAGTGAAAAAAGGGGATATGGTATAGTAATGACTACTTTGTATTGGAATGGATTTTCATTTATTGATACAAATTTAAGATCAATTTTGTGATATGTATATTTCTCCTCTTGTTTAGGTATTGCATTTATATAACTCATTTTAAAAATGTAATGCATAATTAAATATAGATTATAGATAGTAAACTTATAATAGTCAGAACTTATAGTTAGATAAATTAGGTTTTCTAGATATAGAGATATATTTGGGATAGCTAGATAGTCTTCAAACCTTTCAAAGACCTTCAGTAAATGGCATTTAAAATGGTTTAGGGTTTTTCTTGACAATGAGAAATGTCTCCTCCTAGCACATCAATTACTTCTGAGAGGAAGAGGGGCATCAGAGAAACTTGTTATGGAGTTTGCTTTCAACATTGCAAGATTAGCCATTTGGGCAAGAAAGTGTTTTTGTCTGGACTGTTTGACTGTTGTTGTATAAACTGGGCATGCAGGACCCACAGGAAAGTGACTCGAACAGTCCTACGAGGTTCCTGCTTCATGGAAGCGTCTGCCAGACATTCTGCAGGGCACAGAAAAATGACTGACAAACTGCCAATGCAGGTGGGCACTTTAAAATTTCCTGCTTTGCTGAGAAGTCTGCCAGATACATTGTGGCTTATGGGCTGAAGATGGATGCCCCAGTGTTACAAAGGAACTTTGGGTGACTGTCCAGGCAGCGAGATGTCTCTGTCAATTCTACTGTTTATATATTATCCTTCTGTGGTCTTTGATGGAGTTGAAGACAGATAGTTATAATTATAGCTTTCCTTAGTTATGATAAAAGATAAGCTGCATATAAGACTTTAGACTCACAAAGATAGGATAGATGTTTTCTTTGCATCTTACTAAATGTTAATGGGCAAAATATTGTAACTATAGTTCTTGCTTGATAACTGTTCTGTTATATATAATTTGACTATGTTGAAGTTAAAACCTTTCTTTTATTTTAGACAGAAAAGAGGAGATGCTGGGAGACGTCATTCTGTAAATATGTGTCTGATTGGTTTGAATAAAGCACTGTTGGCCAATAGGGAAGCAAGATAGGTGGGACTAGGAGTTGAGGAGGATTCTGGAGGGGGAGGGGGGGAAGAGGGAGGGAGGGAGGGAGAGAGAGAGGGAGGGAGGGGAAGGGGGAGGGAGAGAGAGGAAGGGAGAGAGGGAAAGAGAGGGAGGGAGAGAGAGAGAGAGAGAGAGAGAGAGAGAGAGAGAGAGAGAGAGAGAGAGAGAGAGAGAGAGAGAGAGAGAGAGAGAGAGAGGCAGACACGACGTAGGCCACCAGAGGAGTAAGAGGTCATTTTCTCCAGTGAGAGAAATACTTAGATTAACAATTATGGGTTAAATACTTAAATCAGAGTTAGCTGATAAGAAACCAAGCAAACAGCCAACAGTTTCATAATTAAAAAACAGAAAATGTAAATGAGGACAAACAGGATACCTGGGACTGGTAGAGGTGTTTAATAATAATGGGTAGAGTTCAAATTTGAAGTAAAGGAGCACAAAGAGAAACAAAAAGTGATGAAATTAAGATGAGTGAGCAGCAGAGTGAAGGGAATGCAGGAGGATATGTGGCAGAGTAAATGACTGGTTTAGTTTTTAAAAGCTCCACAAAACTTGTTGAAATGACTGGTCCTCAATGTAGCAGTATTCATAGGTGTGTTTTTGGGAGTGCAGTGGATTATAGGGATTCTGAAATCATGAGGTGATTCATATTCATATTACTCTTTCTTTCCCTCCATCCCCACCTACCTCACATACACATAAATAGATAACATGTTGAAAAAATCCAAGGGCCTGAAACTTAATCCTCAATACCTTGGATGACTGGCCATTTGGAGAGGTATTTAGGTCATGAGGGTTCTACCTTCATGAATAAATTAATATGACATGTATGATGAAGTTTTATGTCAACTTGACACAATTCAAAGTCATCTGAGAGAATGAATCCTCAATTAAGAAATTGCTTCCATGAGATTGGACTTATACACAACCTATAAGCCTGTAAGGCATTTCCTTAATCAGTGATTGATGGGGGAGGGCCCAGCCCATTGTGGGTTGCGCCACCCCTGGGCTGGTGCTCCTGGATTCTATTAGAAAGCAGGCTGAGCAAGCCAGAGGGAGCAAGTCAATAAGCAGTGCTCATCCATGGTCTTTGTAACATCTCCTGCCTCCAGGATCCTGCCCTGTTTGAGTTCCTGCCCTAAATGCCTTTGATGAAGAATTGTTAAATGGAACTGTGATAGAAATAAACCCTTTCCTCTCCAAATTGTTTTGGTTATGGTGTTTCATAACAGCACTAGTAAACCTAAGACAACTACCAAAGTGCGTTCAGAAATGGGTTCACTCTCTTGTCTCTTTGCCTTCCACTATGTGAGAATAAGGCAAGAAAGCACTCATCAGATGCCATCACTAATGGACTTACTGGCCTCAAAAACTATGATGAAATGTATTTCTGTTCTTAAGGAATTACATAGTCTTGAGTATTCTGCTATAGCAGTATAAACAGACTGAGACTATGAGTAAATAAAGATAATGAGGGGTAGAGGGAGGGCATGGTAGTCATGTTCTGCAGAGCATAGGGATGACAGTAAACACAGTAGAGAAGACAGAACCATTCAGCAGAGGAGTAACGAGGCACTGAGCATCAGAGTGAATAGAAAAGGAGGCAGACTTGTGGTAAAGTAGGATCAGCATGGTTAAAACAAGGTAGGACAGAATTAAAGAATGTAGAGAAATGTGGGCCTACTGTGTGGACTAGTATCCAAGTTCTGTATATCTTTTGTGTATACCCAATCCTCTTCCTGTATCTTTCTGATATTTCTGAGTTTCTACCTGTCTTCTCCCTTTATTTTTGTGTATATGTTAATGATTTTCTTTCTTTTGTGTCTCGTGGTCTTTAACAGAGTTGGCATTAGGGAAAGTGGTACAGTCCCCAGCCCTCTACCTTCTGTGTTCTAGAATCTATAGTTCAGACTAGAGATCATAGAGCCCAGAGTTCCAGAATGTCCATACTTTTGATTCATCACAGGATGAGTTTGAGTAAAGGAATCAGATAGAAGGGATTTTGGGTGTCATGCAGGCCTGGGGCACTTTGGTAGTGACCTTGGCCACACTGATGGTTGTCACTGTGGATGCCAAGATTTATGAACGCTGTGAGCTGGCAAAGAAGCTGGAGAAGGCTGGCCTCAATGGTTTCAAAGGCTACACTGTTGGAGACTGTAAGATTCCCTTTGCCCTAAGTCTTATACATACCCCAGTTTACCCACCTCACCCAGACCTAAGCCCCTTTTGTAATTATTCATCTTTTGGGGCCAGGACACAATCTTTTCAGTCACCACCTGATGATGATGACTAGTTTAATTCAACTGTAAAGTCATCATTCACTACTGTCTTCACAAACTTTGTCTCTACCATTAACACCATCATTACCATCAATATCATTACAATTATCACCATTCATCACTAGCATTGATGATAGGTCACCAGAATCAACAATCCATAACCAATCAAAGGCCACCAGCTTCACAGTGAGGATGACAATCATATCTGTATTATCCCCTCTTCTCTTAGCCTTCCTTATTCTTACATGTATGCCCACCTCCTAACTACCCTCTCTCTGTTCCAGGGCTGTGCGTAGCACACTATGAAAGTGGCTTCGATACCTCCTTTGTGGACCACAATCCGGATGGCAGCAGTGAATATGGAATTTTCCAGTTGAACTCTGCGTGGTGGTGTAACAATGGTGTCACACCCACTCAGAACCTCTGCCACATGAATTGTAATGGTAAGGCATCCCTGGGAACACACAGAAGCCCTGTTTGATCCCCATATCATACACAGAAAGCAATTTCTTTTGTTGTTGTTGTTTTTTTTCTTTGTTTTTTTTTGTGATAGGGTCTCTCTTCAGACTGGCCTCAAACTCAAAGATTCTCCTGCTTCTGCTTCCTGAATGCTAAGATTAAAGGCACATATCACCACATCTCACAGGCATATCTTTTAAATCGTAATCTCTTGCTGAGCCAGAAAAATAATGGATAAGGAAGAAATTCTCTGCATTGATAGAGAAAGCTCCCCAAATCCTTAACCAGTCTATACCAAAAAAATGCAAGCTGAAATTCTCTTGTTATTTGGGCAACAAGAAACTTTACTCCATGTGAAATAGAGGGGGAAGAATGTTCTGCTTTGGGATGAAGGCTATCCAGGTTCTGAGGAAAGAAGTATAATCATGGAAATAAGAACAAAACCAAACTACCCTGGGAAAGAAATGAGGGAACTCTCCAGATAATAATGTGGTACTGTTGAGAATACAAATTGAAATTTCTCTTAGGGTAGACTAAACTGATGACTGAGGTGGTCTACAACAGCCCAAAATGGAGACTATGGCTATCTGAGGCCAGACCAAGTGGAGGTTTAGGCCATCAAGTCTTGTGAACATGACAGTGGAGGTCACCAAAGATAGGCACCACTGAAGGTTGAGGGGGTCCAAAACCTCAGATGGACAAGTGAATAATGAGCTTTTAAATGAGTAGGTAAAATGAATATTACAGCGGTCAAACTGAGACAACATGACCATTAAGGTCACCAAGGATTAGCAAAAATGGAGGACAGATTATAACTAGTCACATTTGTAGTTAAGATTGTCTAGGGAACAGGAGAGATAGCTCAGTGGGTAAGAGTGCTTGACGCTTTTCCAGAGGACCCAAGTTCAGTTCCCAGCACTAATGGTGGATGGCTTAGAATCCCTTATAACTCCACTCTAGGGGATCTGATACACTCTTTTTTTGTTTTTGTGTTTTTTTTGTATTTTTTATTTTTAAATTTAAATTTAAATTAGAAACAAGGTTGCTTCACATGTCAATTCCAGATCCCTCTCTGTTTCCCTCCCTTCCTCCCGTCAACCCCCCCCCAATATCCCTTCATTTCCCCAGGGAGGGTGAGGCCCTCCATGGGGGTGTCCATAGTCTGTCATTTCATCCAGGGCAGGACTTAGACCCTTCCCCAAGAGTCCAGGCTGAGAGTGCATCTCTCATTGTGGGATGGGCACCCAATGTCAATTTATATGCCAGGGATAAATACTGGTCAACTACCAAAGGCCCCATAGATTGCTTAGGCTTCCTCACTGACACCCCCATTCAGGGGGTCTTGATCAGCCCCATGCTGGATTCCCAGGCATCATCCTGGGATTCAAGAGTTAACCCTTGTCAGGTCAGCTGTTTCTGGGGGTTAAGCCAGGCCAGTCTTAACACCTTTGGTCATCAGTCCTCCCTCTCTGTCACTGGATTCCTTGAGTTCAGCTCAGTGCTTAGCCGTGGGAGTCTGCCTCTTTTTCCATCAGCCACTGAATGAAGGTTCTGTTTCCCAGACTCTCTGGCCATGGGATTGTAGGCTGGCACTCCCCATATCTATGTCTAAAATCCATATATGAGAGAGTACATGCCATGTTTCTCTTTTTGTGACTGGGTTACCTCGCTCAGGATGGTTTCTTCTAGTGCCATCCATTTGCCTGCAAATTTCAGGATTGCATTGTTTTTTTTCTGCTGAATAGTACTCCATTGTGTAAATGTACCACATTTTCTCTATCCACTCTTCAGTTGAGGGGCATCTAGGTTGCTTCCAGGTTCTGGCTTTTACAAATTATGCTGCTATGAATATAGTGGAACAGACATCCTTGTTGTATGAATGGGCATCTTTTGGATATATGCCTAAGAGTGGAGTTGCTGGGTCTTGTGGTAGGTTTATTCCCATTTTTCTGAGGAATCTCCATACTGATTTCCAAAGTGCTGTACAAGTTGGCATTCCCACCAGCAGTGGAGGATTGTCCCCTTTTCACCACATCCTCTCCAGCATAAATTGTCATTGGTGTTTTTGATTTTAGCCATTCTGACAGGAGTGAGATGGTATCTCAGAGTTGTTTTGATTTGCATTTCCCGGATGGCTAAGGATGTTGAGCACTTTCTCAAGTGCCTCTCAGCCATTTTAGACTCCTCTATTGAGAATTCTCTATTTAGTTCTGTAGCCCACTGTTTAATTGGATCCTTTGGTGTTTTGGAGACTTGCTTCTTGAGTTCTTTGTAAATTTTGGAGATCTGCCCTCTGTCAGATGTGGGGTTAGTGAATATTTTTCCCATTCTGTGAGCTGCCTTTTTTATCTTGCTGACTGTGTCCTTTGCTTTACAGAAGCTTCTCAGTTTCAGGAGGTCCCATTTATTAATTGTTGATTTCACTGTCTGTGCTACAGGTATTATGTTCAGGAAGCTGTCTCCTGTACCAACTCATTCAAGGGTACCACCCACTTTCTCTTCTAAGAGGTTCAGTGTGGCTGGATTTATGTTGAGGTCTTTGATCCATTTGGACTTAAGTTTTGCTCATGGCAATAGACATGGTGTCAGATCCTCTGGAATTGGAGTTATTGATAGTTGTAGGCCTTCATGTAGGTCCATGTGGGTCTTCTTCAAAAGGAGCAAGTGCTCATAACTCTTCAGCCCTGATTGAGTTTATTTATAGCAGTGAGATTGGAGTTTAACCTATCAAGAACTTAAGCACACAGGGTTTGAAGTCATTAGGAATGACCAATATGGAAAGAAAGTCGGTTCCCAATTAGCCACATGGTAGTTGAGGTGAAGCCAGATTAGCCAACCTATAGTTGACATCATTCATTCAAAGTTGGCCAATGTGCAGTTAGAGGGTGTCCTGGGTCTCATTGTGGTAGTTAGGGTTATTTATAACCAGTGAACATGATAGTCAAAGTTAAACAGGATCATTCAACATGAGTTAAGATTGTATAACACCAGTCAACATGGCAAGTGAAACAATGTATGACTATCTAGCAAAGAATGAAAGATATTTACAATTTGCCAACATTATAACTAAGGTTATTTAGGCCCTAAGGGATCAAGAAATCATAGGGCCTTCAAAACACTTTAATATGTCTCTAGTGTACCAGGGCACCCCAACCTTCTCTCCTCCCCAACCAGACCTGCTCAACCGCCATATTCTGGATGACATTATGTGTGCCAAGCGGGTTGTATCCTTACACAAGAGTATGAAGGCCTGGTAAGTTCATGGGGATGGTCTGGAATTTGGACAGCCACAAAGAGTGATGCTACTATTCCATCAACTTGTCTAATTCATTTTCCCTTTCTCCTTTCATTTTCCAGGGATTCTTGGAGCCGGCACTGTTCTGGTCATGATTTATCTGAATGGCTCAAGGGTTGTGATATACATCTGAAAACTGACCCACACAATACTGATTGGTGACTCAGATTTCATAAAGATAGAAATTTCACTTTTTTCTTTTGTGGGTTTAGTAAAAGAAGGCATCTATAAATAATGCAAGACTATCTGTCATGTTTTCCAGTATCTGAAAGTATTCCCATTCAATCCTTTCCTCCACAGCTTAATAGATCTAATCTGGAGAGACAAGATCACTTAGGGTTTGGTGAGGATGGTATAGTAATCGAGAGCATAGATTATCTTTGGTTTAAATATGGTATCTACCACTTACTGATTGTGCTTCCCTTAAAGACTCACTGAATTTTTCTCTGCCTCTTTCCAAATATGAAAGATGAGGATGATAATGAGAGCAATAATTCATGGGGCTTATTTGGAGAATTTAATGAACTGATGTTTGGAAAACACATACAGTGCTTGGAAAAATTCCATTAAGGATCTGCATGGGGTAGTTTATGATCATAAACCAGCACTCAAGTGGCAAAGGCAGGAAGATCACAAGCATAAGGCCAATATGGCCTACATAGTGAGACTCTGCTTCTAAAAAAAGGGTCAGTTACAGATTTGGATAGAGGTGTTAAGTGTAAGGATATGAAAGATGTCTTACCTTAAAAAGCATCATTTTCAGATGAGGTCAATTACAGGGTCTTTATTTAAGACATTTACAGTCTCTTCAGTGGAGAATGAAATTAAATACAGCTTACATAGTTTGAACCGATAATTTAAACTATTCACATTTTTTTCACATCTTCCCACCATTCTAAGCCCCAAAATCCCATTATCTTTTTCATAATAAAAATCCAAAGTTGCAAATGACAGACTTGGAATTTAGGCAAAGAATTCAATGGATGCACAAAGCAATGATTTCTTTTTACAGAGTGCCTGGGTTTCAGTTTTTGTATTGAACAAAGCTGTGAAGAATTTGCCACTTGCTCTCATTTCCCTGGGTAGTCCTATTGGAAGTAGCTATTCTCATGAAGTAGTTGCTTATGTCCTTTGTAGTTCAAGGTCAGGGGTGTCTACTCAGCTACACAAAGCCTTGATTTCAGTGTTCATGAAAAATAAACAGGGATGATTATTAAAAATTGCTAGCTGTCACTGCATGGCAAGGAGAGTTCAAGATCCCTTCCTTAATGTCAACTGGAATTCTCCTATATTTTGCCCCAATCAGTATAGATAACCAAATTTCACATCTACATGGGAGTCCTTAAAGGGTGTCACCATTCTGGCTATTGACAGAATTCTGAATGTGGCAGGCATTTATCAAAACAGCAGAAATAAACTCTAATGAATTTGTGCAAAAAACAGGTCTTCTAAAGTGTATTAGGCAGCTTATGGTCCTTCTTGGAAGTTTATAGTTCTCCCAAATCAGGCTGGGGTAGAAATACTGGCATTATCAACTGTAATTTCGGCTTAAAACTGAAATTTGATATTCTTGTGGCATCTTCTTTACATTGTTCTGACTATTATAATAATTTGGAATTTTATAATATTTTCTTTGTTATTCCTTTAATGTTTATGTTTAGTTCTTTAAGTTGCAATTGTTTGGTAAACCACTTTTTCTAATAAGTGTTTGTTTATTTTTCTATGAGAGTTTGATATTGAATTTTGAAACATATATTTTCCTTATTTCACTTCTGAGGAAATATGATTATTGAAATTAGTTGAATTTCCTTTGATATTTATGCCCACATTTATGATGAGGTTTGTCTTCTGGCTAACAGCTTTCATACATTCAAGACTTCAAACAATTTCAGCATTGAGCAACCTCTTTGATGGGACATGATCAGCCAATAGATCCATGATGCAAAAGTACGAAGACCAAGTTTTTCTGTAAGAAAGAGGATGTTCCTATTCCTTTTACCCAGAATGATCTTCCCCCAATATGGCTGATGCTGAATTTTAAGCTCAACTGACATATCCTCAGAAAAGCATCCTAACTACAGCAGTTTCATTTTCTTAGATTTTACTACGACAGATTTTCCATTTTCAATTCTTTGTTTTCTCTTATCTCTAAGTTCTCTAATCCATGATGAACTTTGAACTCTGGAAGGTTTTTTTCCAATTCAGAGCAGTCATAGGGTTTCTCTCCTGTGTGAGTTCTCTGATGTACAGTGAGTTTGGACTTCTCTCTGAAGGCTCTGCTACACTTACCACATTGATAAGGTTTCTCTCCTGTATGGGTTCTTTGATGAATAATGAGATATGATTTTTGGGAGAAAGATTTCTCACATATATTACACTCATAGGGTTTTTCCCCTGTGTGGACTCTCTGATGAATAATGAGATATGATTTCTGGAAGAATGCTTTATCACATTCATTGCATTCATATGATTTTTCAAATTTCTCTCTTGTATGAGCTCTCTGATGTAACAGAAGGTATGATTTTCGGGAGAATACTTTCCCACATACAGTACATCCGTCTGTTTTTTCCCCTGTATGAATTCTCTGATGAGCACTGAGGCTCAGCTTAAGGGTAAAGGCTCTCCCACACTCTGAACACACATAAGGTTTTTCTCCTGTGTGAATTCTTTGATGTCTACGTAGTGTGGATTTTTCCCTGAAAGCTTTGCCACACTCGTTGCATTCAAAAGGTTTCTCTCCTGTGTGTGTTCTCTGATGTACACTAAGGTGAGCCTTCTGGTTGAAGGCTCTCCCACATTCTGAACATTCATAGGGTTTCTCTCCTGTGTGAGTTCTCTGATGGATGATGAGTTTTGTCTTTTCTCTGAAGGCTTTGCCACATTCATTGCATACATATGGTTTCTCTCCTGTGTGGGTTCTTTGATGTATATTCAGTGTTGATTTCTCTCTGAAGTACTTGCCACAATCAGTACATTCAAAAGGTTTCTCTCCTGTGTGTGTTCTCTGGTGTACATTTAGATGTGCCTTTTGGTTGAAGGTTTTCTCACAATCTGTACATTTATAGGGTTTCTCGCCTTTGTGAGTTCTTCGATGTATGATGAGATTTGTTTTTTCTTGGAATGCACTGCCACACTCAGTGCATACATATGGTTTCTCACCTGTGTGTGTTCTTTGATGTATATTCAGGGTTGATTCCTCTCTGAAGGATTTGCCACATTCATTACATTCAAAGAGCTTCTTTTCTGTGTGCATTGTTTGATGTAGACTGAGGTGTGCTGTGTTGTTGAATGTTTCTCTGCATCCTGCCCATTCATAAGGCTTTTCTCCTATGTGAGTGATCTGATGAACAATAAGGAATGAACTTGGGCTGAGGGTTATTCTACACTCAGGACATTCATAGTTTCTGGCTCCAAGTTGAGTCAAGTCATGCTGAACAAAGTTATAAATATGATCTTTACCATACATATTATGGTCATGGGATTTCTTTCCATCATTTATCTCATGTCTGCTAGGAATTAATAATCTCCTACATCTATTACATTCATAACACTCCTGAGCTGCAAAGCTCAGACTACTAGGATTGAGTAAACTTAAATTATATTTAACACTTTTCCCAAATGAGTTATTCATATAGGGTGTGGGTCCTGAAGAAACTACCCATGTGTTCTGAGGAAGTGGGCTTACAAATTCATCATATTCACAGCTTCTTTCTTCAGTCACATTTTTCTCAACAATGGATATAGCCTGCTCCAGGTGTGCATTTTGGTTTTTCTCATGCCACTCCAGGCAGTCTTCAGCTTGGCCATCGTCTAAAAAGAAGAAGAATAAATCATAGTCTGTAAATACACCTAGTCAGAAGCACGTTTTTGATGGTGTTGACCTTTATTTTCTTCTAAATCTATGTACTGCCCAGAAAGATATTCCAAGCATGTATCTCTCTTACACTCAGAGCTTGAGTGAAGAAAATACAAGGTGATCCAACAGACATCGGAACAGGGAAATAACAATAAATATAAGTAATATAACTGTTAACTTAAAACTGGAGAAACTAAAAATGGGTTCAGAGAGCCACAAATAGGAAAAGGGATACTAGAAAGACAGTAAATACAGGATTGGGGTCAGGGACCTAGAATGCAAAGATCCTTTTGGAAAGGCTGGAGATAATAGAAGTAAATGAAAAAAGAAGCAGAATGAATAAGCCAGAACAAGGTCCAGTTTTGTAACAGCTCATTCAAATGTTAACATGAGACAAACCTACTAAACTAACAATTTGTAAAGAGCAGTAACAGTATATATAACATTTAAGATTTTGTTGTGGTTTTTTTTTATTTTTGAGATTGTAAAATAATTACATTTATCTTTTCCCTTTCCTCCCTCCAAACCCTCTCATATATTCCTCTTTACTCTGTTTTAAATTCATGGCCTCAGTTTTCATTAATTGCCATTATATGCATATGTATCTTGAGAACTATTTGTAAAATTCTTGGAGCCGCAGAATATGTGACACATGGCTAGATGTGAAAGCCCTTGAATGTCACACTGTGTGCTATGACTGAATAGTGTACCCTTTAAATTCATATACGGAAACCCTAAGTTTTCAGCATGATAAGATTTGAAGATAAGGCCTTTAGTAAATAGGTCTGGCTAGACCATGGGCTGAGGGACCTTTGAGAAGAGACACCAGAGAGTTTGATACTGTGCATCAGGAAGTTCCTCACTATAACCAATACCACTCTCACCCTAATTTCTGACTTCCAGGCTTCAGAGCTGTGAGAAAATAAAACTATTTTTCTACTGTTTAAGTTATCAAGTATATGATATTTTGTCACGAAAGGTAAAAGAGAATAAGAGACCATGAGATTTTAGCTTTCCTGTCTGGCATTATACTTGCTAACTATTTTAAAGGCAGTGAGTTAAATGATTGGGTGTGGATTGCATTACAACTCCAGAGGCAAGGGGAACATACAGCTACCCCTGGTGATGATGATGGGAGGAAGGGGTGGGTTTGTACTAGTCCAAATGAGTGTCTCAGCAGTGACAGTGAGGTCAAGAAACAAATTTAGATGTTAGTATTAATAGGACCTGGGCTGGGTAGTGGTGGCGCACACCTTTAATCCCAGCACTCAAGAGGCAGAGGCAGGTAGATCTCTGTGAGTCTGAGGCCAGCCTGGTCTACAGAGAAAGTTCCAGTACAGCCAGGGCTGCATAGAGAAACCCCGTTTTGAAAACAAACAAATGAACACTAATAGGACCTGGAAAGTGTGTGATATATAAGAGAGAAGCAGGAGTAGGTTTCTAGCATGAGTGAATGATGATGGCTTTAAGCAAGATATAGGAAATTAATGAGTTATCTGTGAATGATAGACTTAGGTAGAAATGCCATTTCTTATAGCTCACTTGAATTTCCCACATATTTTCAATTACCATCCATTACTTTGGATTGTTTTGTTGGTATGTTGCAAGGTGAGGTATGTAATGGAAAACAAAGTTCAATGAGTTACATTAAGTTCTTGTTAGTTTGAATACGAAACATGGTAGGAAATCTTGCTGCAAGTGTCTAGAAGGCTGTTAAATCCAAACCTACATAGAACTCAAGAAGAAAGAGACTGGAGTTGCTCTCATCGGATGTTAGAATGTATGACCACAATGTGTTGGCTGTCCATTACGCTTGAAATAAAGTAGGTATGTTATACACACACACACACACACACACACACACACACACACACACACACACACACACACTGGGGGATTTGAGAGATTATTAAACTTGCAGATATGGAGTCAATTGGAGGCATAAGAGGTCCTTAGAATTAAGTGAACAGTCAGAGAATTCAGAAACATAAATTCTTACCCCAGTTTTAGTATTGAAAACCAAGGGGAACTAGATCAGTGGAGTGAGGTCTGGGTTGTGGTACAGAATTAGAGATACAAAGATGATGAGAGAATGAGAATGTCCATCAGAGAAACAAAGTAAGAAGGAATAGGAACTTGCCTAACCCTGAGAATAGGGCTGACAGAGGCACTGTAGTTGACAAATGAGGAGTAGAGGGGAAGAAAAGAAGCATGGCTATCTGTGATGTGTAGGGACTTAGTATATATGGCTTCTGCAAAGGACAATTTGTATCAGGAAGCAGGTGGTTGCATTGGGCATTTAGATCAGCAAATTTCCATTTTCACTCATCCCCATATTTAATGTCCCAAACTGAATGGGACTACAGTTATTCTACTAAGTGATTCATTATTTGTTCTAAGAGAGGGAAAACACAGCCTTCAGGGAGTTTGATAGGTCTTTTAAACTATAATTGGTGCATAATTCTTTTGTACTCCTCCTTTGAAGGAGTATATTGATAAGGAAACAATCTCGTGTGACCTAACAAACAAGCTTGCTTTTGTTTGCTTTTGTTTTTCACGGCCGTTTCTTTGAAATGTGAGCTAGGGAGTCCTTGAATCTCCCTGAGAACAGGGAGCAGTAAGCACCTGGCAGATGCAACCAGGAATCACACATTCATCATGGGTATTTATTTCAAAAAGCTTTCAATCATTCTGATTGGTTCACTGAGAATTCACTTGTTTCTTGAATACTGTGCTTCTTGAATCCCAATTTGTTTAAGTTTAAAACAGTCATATTCATTTACTTCTAATAAATAAATAGATATAGATCCTTAATAATGAAGTTGATTGTCTGTTTTCATTTAAAATTCTAGAGGACAGACACCTATTTTGTCTTGTTTTGTGAAGCTTCCTGATTATGCTGACCTTGTTTGATTGGTTACATATCAAGCCATGTGTCAGGGAGAAATATATTTGAGCTGTAATAGGATTCCTTATTATCAGCTTGAGGCAGCACAGTAAACCTTCAATTAAATTTCTAATAGTTCTCTCAGTAACACACATACATTTATAGTTAATATTATAACATTAGTTTGTAATGATCACGGTGGTGGGATTAGATAACAAATATCTTTTTCCCCCAATATATGTTTTTATTTAAATTAGAGACATGAATGCTTCACATGTCAATCCCAGCTCCCTTGTCCCTCCACTAGCCTCCCAGCCCCCCACCCAATCCCCACATCATTCCCCAGGGAGGGTGAGGCCCTTCTTGGGGGCATCTCCAAAGTCTGTCATTTCATCCAGGGAAGGACGTAGGCCCTTCCCCATGTGTCCAGGCTGAGAGAGCATCCCTCTATTTGGAATGGGCTCCCAAAGCTCATTCATACACCATGGTAAACACTGACTTAAGAAGGTATTTTTGAAATTTTAAAGATGTAAAACTTTAACCAGAATGTCTATGGTCTTGCACTCACCATCTTCCAATACTCCCTTCTTACCTGTGCAACTTGAACTCGGGATTTCTCTCTTTATGATATCGAGGATTCCTTGCTCCAAAGAGGTGATCACTTTTGGTTTGGTAATAGGATACCCTGTAGTGGGAAATCATACAAGACTTGGGTACTCGTGTGTGACATTCAGTTCAAAAAATTAGTAAGATGTGTTTTAGTAAGGGTATGTTTCACATGGGTGATTAACAACTTGTTTAAGAGGAAATAAGAAATTTAATCCATAGATTGAATTGAAATACAGTAGGGACAAAAGAATTACACATTTGGGGACACTATGAATTACTCAACAAGCCTTCCTCACCCAGAGAGACAAGATGGCTATAATTCTCTAGCATCACATCTCTGTATAGGCTCCTCTGAATTGGGTCCAGTTGATTCCACTCTTCCTGAGTAAAGTCCACAGACACATCCTCGAATGACACTGATCCCTGTAATTGCATACTTTCATTCAATTAGTTTGGTAAAAATTAAAGTAATACTATGTCTTTCAAAATATTAGTATACCTTTGTTTTAATATTTTTTTTTAAATTGACACATTAAAACTATACATATTTATGGACTACAATATGATGTGTGTGAGAAAGGGAGATCAGACAATGCTAGTTGAAGTGATAATATTCTTTATGATAAACAAAATATTCTTCAAGAAGAAGCTACTGTTTTACCATTTTAAAAATCTTTCTTAGGGACTAGGGATGTAGCTCAATGATAGACTACTTGAAGAGCATGTACAGGCCTCAAGCTCCTCCTCAGCACTGCAGCAGCCTTCTTCAAGATTTGCAATATCTAATCAAAGCAAAGGACCTTTACACTATAGAAACTATTAAGAACTAATGAAATAAATATCAATAATCCAATAGAAAAAGAAAATATTTAATAGATACTTCACAAAAGACAGTGTCCAAAGGGTGAATAAACATACAAAAAGATGCTTAACATCATTAGCCATCAGAGAAACACACACTGAGTCCATACTGAGATACTAGTATTTTCCAATGGCACAGCTAAAATTAAGACTAACAACCTAAATGTTGGCAGTGATGTAGAGCAACACAAATTTCCATACCTTGCTGGTAGGAGTAAAATGGTACAGACACTTTGGAAAATGGCTTGGTAGAATTATTAAAACTGAGAAGCTGAAAATGTTTCTAATTTATGAAGTTGCAACCTCACTCTTCGGTACATATCTAATGGAAATGTGCACACAGGTTCACCAATACATAAACAAAAATATTCACAGAAACATTGTTTATAACAGTCAAAATAGAAACATCCATCAGCAATGGATTTGAAGAGTAATTGTGAACTACTTATGCAATAGAATGGTATACAATAGCAGAAATAGAACAAACTACTGATACCTAAAGTAACAAGGATGTGTATTTAAAACATTATGGGCTGGAGATGTAGTTCAGTGGGAAAAAGCTTACCTAATGCACCTGGGTTCCATTCCCAGCATCACAAAAAATGACAAGTGAAAGAACTCAGATCAAAAAGAATAATATATATATATATTTCCATTTATGTGAAATTCAAGAAGAGAAAAAACAAATTATGATGATAGAAATTAGAAAGTGGTTACTGTAAATCAAAAGCCAATGATTGGAAATGGCATGGAAGCTTCTGGAAGGCATGCCATTTTCTCTTCTTTTTGATCCAAGTATTGCTTCCATAGTGTTTTCAATCTATAGATAAAACTGTATACTTTATATGGTTTTCTACCTCTGCTATATTTCAATAAATCGACCTCATAAGATTTTTTATCTAAACTATATTTCCACAAAAGGTTTAGAAGTAGGAAGACAAGGATTTTAAACCCCCAGTGGAAAAAGAAAAGAGTATTTGAAAAAATTTCACAAAAGAAATATAAAAAGAGAAAAACATAGTTGTTCAACCACAACTGAACACAAATCAAAACATAAGATATTTCCAATTATCATATTGCAAATCTTAAAACTATACAAGAGGATTCAAAAGGGTCTTTCCACTCATTATTAGAGAAGCTAATGCAGTTTGGCAATATCTATGCAAGTCCACAACACAACCACCTTTTCAAACAGACACTATGGAAATGGTCATCTCTGAAAACAAAGATGACAAGAGATTACCACCACACTAAAAGAAATTACACAGAGGTCCTTCAATATGAAGTTCATCAACGAATCATGTTATGTGAATACAAGAGAAAGATATAGCTGTTTAAAATATTCCTATGTGAGCCAGCTTTGGTGGCATATGCTTATAATCTCAGCACTTAGGAGGCTGAGGCAGAAGAATCCTAAGTTCAGGGCCAGCCTGGGCTACATGTGTGAAACACTATCTCAAAACTAAAACAAAAATCAAATAAATCAAAATAAAATCTCAACTAGGGACGTGTGTAGCTCTGTGGTAGAGCACATAGGCCCTGGATTCCATCTTCTGTGCTGTGTGCTTTTTCTGTAAAAACACAAAGAACAAAAAACTTCTGTGTTCCTGATACTGAAACATCTGTAAAAAAGTATTCATTTAGTTGGTTTTGGGCCTAAGAAAGTCTTGGATGCGAGGCCCAGTGTAAACTCCTGAGCCTGGCTAGAGTTTGGCGACTGTCTCTATCCTGTAACCTGTAACCAGACCTGATGTAAGATTGCCTAGCTACCTGCTTGCTTGGTGGAATATTATTGGCCCTTATTCTTCACATCACCTTACCCTATCCTATGTTTCCCATCCCCTACCTCAGCTCTATATAAGTTCCTGCCTGTTGGAATAAATCATGACCCTGATTCGACAGACTCCCAACTCAGTTTGTATTTTTTCTCTAACTCAGTGTGTATTTTTTCTTCCCGGTAACTAATGGGGGGGGAGGGTCTGAGTTGTCCACACTCATCAACCCGCTCAGCCCTGGGAAGAGACCAGCTGGACTGGCCCTTTCCCTGATCTACCTGTCTGGGAGGACCCGACATGTGGTGACTATCTTATTTCAGCTCTGCCAGTATCAGCTGTGAAAATCCATGTCACTTGCTCATCTACCTGGAAGATATGAATGATAATTGTGTCTATTTCATAGTGTTATTATGAGTATTAAAGTTGCCTATGCATATAAAGTATTTTTAGTATAGTGCTGTGCATAGCATAAGCTCACTTGCTGCCCCTCCTATCAGCATTAGCACCACCATGTGTTTTTGCCATCCTCATTATCACTACAGACTGAGCAGTCCTTACCTAAAATGCTGAGACGAAGAAGTAGTTTAGATTTGGGATTTTTGAGTATTTCTATATCTTCACATAATTTTAGGGGTGAGATCCCAATGTATACATGAAATTCCTTCATTCATATACATACTGCTTGAGGTAATTTTGTAATTTAAGTATGCCTGCATTTTGGCCATGACCCATCATCATAGAAGGCCAGTTGTGGAATTTTCTCCTTGAGGCATCATGTCCATGAAGCGTGAAGTTGCATATTTTGGAGCTTTTGAGAATTTAGGTTTTTAGATTAGGAGTGCTCACTTTGTACTGCTGTGACTGTTCTAATTTAAGAAAAGCATCATGCAAGAGAAAGATGCCATGAGACAGCATTCAAGCAGAGGTTTTTTTTTTTTAATTAGGAAAAGGGATCATAAAAAGGGGAAAGAGGAGGGAGGAGACCGGCCTCAGGAGACAGGACCAGCAGGAGAGAGGAGAGAGGAAAGAGGGGGAGAGAGAGGGAAAGAGAGAAGGAGGGAGAGAAAGAAAGAGAGGGGGGAAGGATGGGAGGTGGGCAGGGCCCTTTTAGAAGGGAACATAGTGAATATGCACAGGTGGTGTTCTTAGTGTCTGCAGTTGAGGGCGTATCCTGTAAGAACCCCAAGGGCAGGCCAGTACAGATGCCTGAATACTAACAGTGACCAATATTACTATATTAAGGGAAGGCAAAGAGTTGCAAGTTTTATTTAATGAGTAAATCTTAACAAGATGAATGAATGTTAACTATTACTATATTATAAATATATTATTATATTAGAAATATATATGCAGAAAGAACAAGGCAGAGAGGGCAGAAGTCAACCAAATTCAAATGTTCTGCAGTGACTGGTGATATGATATCATGAGATACTTTCCATTTTATTTTTCTTTTATATTGTTTTACTTGGAGGAGAACAAAGGACCTCTTGACCATACTAGCACTCTGCCAAATGAACTAGATACAAGTCCTAGTTTCCTCTTCTAGACTGCAAAATCCTCGAGAGTTTATTTCCTGCATTGAGGTTTGAATCCAAGGCCCACTGCAAGCTAGAAAAATTGCTCTCAGTGTTCTCCCCCTCCTCTGTCTCCTTCTCTTTCTGATGGGGTGTAGAATTAACTAACCCTTGGTTTTTGAGACAGTCTTGCTACATAGCTTGTGTTGGCCTGGAACTCACTAGGTAACCCAGGTTACCCACAAAATCTTGATCATTGTGCCTCCACCTCCTGATAACTGGAATAAAAACCATGTGTGACTATCCTCACTAGAGAAGTTGGAATTCTTGGTGTCATTAGTATTTCACTCTTGTATAAAGGTGAAACAATACAGACTTGGAAAAGAAGGCAGAAGGGAAAGAATGTAAAATGGTCAGGGATGTTATGAATTCTGAGACTAAAAGTAAAAGGACAATTCTATGGGTTTCTCAGGGTTTTCTAGATAATAAAAATTAAAAAAACTCTACTCTACTAGGAAATAATTTGAAGTATATATGGCTTATATCATCTGCCTGGCCATGGAGATTTCATTCACATGTAGTCAAGAACATGTTTGTTTAGGCTTGGCTTGGCTTTCCTGAAAAGTCACATCCCTTTTAGTTTTGCTCTGGCAAGACATCTTTGGTTTACAGGAAGATAATTTAAGTCATGACAGAGAAATATTAACCCTATGTTTATCATAAGCTTTCTAATAGGAACTTGAAGCGACCCATTAGAGGACTGTCTGATCAACATTAGGAAAACATTAGGCATCAATGGAAGTGGCTTACTGTCTGCAAGGGTGACATAAAACAAGTAAATATGTTTGATTTCCTTTATGTTGTAGCTTAAAGAAAGTTCAGAAAAGTAACTGTACCTTAACATAAATATATAAAATTCTATGATACATACACACCAATACATATTGCACACCTGTGCTGGTCTTGTTATATATATCCTTAAACTTTGTGTTTATACATATCCATTTTATAGGAAAATTAATAATACACTAATTCATATACTCATATATAATATTTATTATACATGCATCAAGGCATTGTTCTAAACACATTAGCTCAATTGACCTTCACAACCACCATACAAGGCAGGTATTATCATCCTAGCCATTCCCATTTTAGAGTTAATGGAAACTAAGGAGCTTTGGTAAGCTCCTAAAGTTGGTAAGAGCAATTTAGCTGCAGATTCTATAGTCTTTACCAACATCCAATATCTCTTCTACCCTAATATGGGCAGAGGGTAATTGGGAGAAGGAAGTAAGAACTTACCCAGGACTCAGTCATGACTGACTGTTGTGGAGAGAAGGCAAAGGCATAAAAAGGCAGAACTGTTGAGAGGGAGAAGAAAAGAGAAGAGCTTCAGATGGCAAGGATACCCAGATTGAAAATTCACCAAATCACCAGGCCAGACCAGAAATCCACAAATGACAGGTGGTAAAATGGTCACGGTATAGCAAAAAATAAAAATAAAAAAAAATTTAAAAAAAGGAAAGGGCATTTGCTTTCCCCCAGAGATTTCCATCAACCAACAACACCCCATAGGCCATTGTATATTTATCACAGATTTCCAAACGCTGACTTAAAACCCCCAATCATATATTCTACAACACCCCACATCACTTACACTATTGACTCTGCCACTCACTCTACAGCCTGATTATCACAAGCTTCAAATATTCCCATCATTCACTCCATAGCCTGCCTCAGCCAAAGCCTCCACAGAGCCTACCACTCATTCAACGTTCTCCATCTCTCTCCTTGAAGCACCCTGCCAAGACTCTCATTACTCATGTTTGAGCCCCTCCCCGAGTACTCACCCAGTAAATTTGCGTCTTTGCAGAGTCCACACTCGCCTGTCTCACTCCGCCTGCCAGAGTACCAGCCCTCTCATTTCCGCTCTGAGTGAACTCCGCTCTCTTTCACTCCCTTCGATCTTAAAATCTAAATTATTATGCCGGCAAAGTCTCTTTAATGTTTCTCAAATCATTCATAACTTCCTGTGACGGCCACTTATTAGTCCTTTACCCCGCCTTGGTTACTGTCAATCACTAAACTTGCTCATGCGCAAAAGTGCTTCCCGAAGCCATCTGTGCAAGCAGTCCTAAATATTTTGATTACAAGGATCAAATTTACAGGCAGGAAAAATGGATGCGCCAATAAACCGCGTTTTTAAGGGAGCGGACATTTTTATAGCCTTTGCCATTCCGTACAATGGAGAAAAATCTGCTTCTCAGCGTTTGAAGAGATGAGATTTTGTGAGGAATTTGAACACTTGGAGATAAGAATAGTCCTTTTGTACAAAGGCATACTAACGACCGGCAGCTTTTAGAACTGAGGGCTACAGTGCCCGCCTCTGCTTCCCCCAATCCTTACCCTCGGCAGGGAGATACCACTGCGGAGATGGGGGATAGCTGGAACGCCGCCACCCTTCCTGGGAACTATTCGGGGTAAAAGGGAATCAGAGCAGAGAACAATGTGTTTCTCTAAAGATAACCACCACTGTGGGGATGGGGAGAGATCGTGGAGTTGGTGGTTCCTTCAAGGAACTAGAGAGGTTGGTACTATTAGGCTAGCTGTGAAGAAGATTCAGATTGGTATGATCCTCTGTGGGAAATACCAGGATGCGGATATACGCAAGTCGGGGGGTCGTAAGATTATGTGCTCAGATAAAGAGATACGTGAAGAAAGTGACATCAGTAAACACAGGTGCTGGGAGAGTCGGAGACAGAAACTCGGGGAGGGAGGGATCCTAACGATATTGTGTCTTAGAGTCGAGGGGAGAATCCACAAAGTCCTGACAGTGACCATTTTGCTTCGTCCCTGCATGCCCACATTCCTGGGAACCTGTGGCAGAGAGATTTGTGAAAGGTCATATGCCAGGCTCTGGGTCCTATGGAACCCACCTCGGGGGCTTCTAGAGTCCTTGAGGAACCAACAGGAGGCTGTTCCAGCTCGGGACTTCAGACACAGTCTACTATCATGCAAGGGACAACTAAGGAGGTGATTTCTTAGTGGCTATTACAATGGGGGAGGGGATGGGGGAGGGGAGGACGGGACCTAACCCTTCTTCCTTCTCTTTAATATATTCCTCATTAATAACGGCTCTATGATGACAGTTAGGGTAATCACCAATCTGACAACAGGGCCCAGGCAACGTTTGGCACCCTCTCCACCATTGCTAGGGGGCCTTAGCTGGGGTCATCCTTGATGACTCCTGGGAATTTCCCTAGCATTAGGTTTCTCCCTAGCCCCCTAATGATTGGCTCCCTCTATCAAGATATTTCTTTTATTGATCTTCCACCCCCAACTCCACCATCCCCTTCCCTATGTTCTCATCCCCCAATCCCTTCCCTTTAACTCCCCCTCCCAGTTAACCCAGGAGTGCACATCTATTTACTCTTTCCAGGGGGATCAATGTGTCTCTCTTAGGGTCCTCTTTGTTACCTAGCATCACTGGAGCTGTGTATTGTAAGCTGGTTATCCTTTGCTTTGCATCTAATATCCACTTATGAGTGAGTACATACCATGTTTGCTTTTCTGGGTCAGGGTAATCTCACTCAGAATGATTTTTTCTAGTTCTATCAGTTTGCTTTCAAATTTCATGATGTCATTGTTTTTACAGCTGAGTAATGCTCTATTGTGTAAATGTACCACATTTTCATTCTTTAGTTGAGGAGCATCTAGGCCGTTTCCAAGTTCTGGCTATTACAAATAATGCTGCTATGAACATTGTTGAGCAAATGTCCTTGTGGTATGATGATTGAGCATCCTTTGGGTATATGCACAACAGTGGTATCTCTGGGTCTTGAGGTAGATTGATTGCCAATTGTCTTAGACACTGCCATACTGATTTCTAAAGTGGCTGTTTGCACTCCCACCAGCAGTGGAGGAGTGGTCCCCTGACTACATATCCCTCCAGCATGAGCTTTCTTCAGTGTTTTTATCTTAGCCATTCTGACAGGTGTAAGATGGTATCTCAGTCCTTTGATTTGAATTTACCTGATGACTAAGGGTGTTGAACAATTCTTTAAATGTGTTTTGGCCATTTGAGATTCTTATGTTGAGAATTATCTGTTTAGATCTCTTTTAATTGGATTATTGGGTATTTTGATGTCTAGTTTCTTGAGTTCTTTATATATATATATATGGAGATCAACCCTCTGTCAGATGTGGGGTTGGTGAAAGTCTTTCCCCATTCTGTAGGTTGGCATTTTGTCTTATGTACCATGTCCTTTGCCTTACAGAAGCTTTTCAGGTCCCATTTATTGATTGTTGCTCTCAGTGTCTGTGCTACTGGTGTTGTATCTAGCAAGTGGTCTCCTGTGTTCAAGGCTATTTACCACTTTCTCTTCAAGAGGTTCAGTGTACGTCTTGGGCTTGAGTTTTGTTCATGAAGATAGATATGGATCTTCTACATGTTGACATCCAGTTATTCTGGCACCATTTGTTGAAGGTGCTTTCTGTTTTCATTTCTAACATTTCCTGGGTCCCACAGCTGCACATGTGACTGCCAGCATTCAGGTAAAATGCTTAGTCGCCCCAGGTGTTAGCATTTCCAGGGTGGACTGCACATATGCCCTCAGCATTCAGCAAAATGCTTAGTCATTTTTTCATTGTACAGCTTGGGATCTTTGTAAAAAAATCTGTTTTTTATAGGTATGGGGGTTAATGTCAGGGTCTTCAATTCAATTCCATTGGCCCATGTGTCTGTTTTTATGCCAATACCAAGCTGTTTTTATGAGTATGACACTCTAGTAGAGCCTCCAGAAGTTGATCATGGTGGGTGATTTTTTATGTGTTCTTGAATTTGGTTTGCCACTATCTTACTGAGTATTTTTGCATCAATGTTCATGAGGGAGATTGGTCTGTAGTTCTTTCTTTGTTGTATATTTGTGTGGTTTGGGTGTTGGGGTAACTGAAGCCTCATGAAAAGAATTTGGCAATGTTACTTCTGATTCTATTATTTGGAACAATTTGAGGAGTATCATTATTAGCGCTTCTTTGAAATTCTGGTAGGATTCTTGCACTGAAGCCATCTGGTCCTGGGATTTTATTGGTTGGGAGACTTTCAATGACTGCTTCTATTTCCTTAGGGATTATAGGTCTGTTTAAATAATTTATGTTTTTGATTTAATTTTGGTATGTAGTATCCATCCAGAAAATTGTCCATTTTTAAAAAATTTTCCAAATTTGTTGCGTACAGGTTTTGAAGTATGACCTGGATTTCCTCAATGTCTGTTGTTATGTCCCCCTTTTCATTTCTGATTTTGTTAACATGCATATTCTCTCTCTGCCTTTGGTTAGTTTAAATAAATATTTGTCTATCTTGTTGATTTTCTTGAAGAACCAACTCTTTGTCTCATTGATTCTTTGTATTGTTTTCTTTGTTTCTATCTTGTTTGTTTCAGCCCTCAATTTGATTATTTCCTGGTGTCTACTCCTCCTGGGTGAGTTCTCTTCTTTTTGTTCTAGAGCTTTCAGGTGTGCTGTTAAGTCGCTATTGTGAGATTTCCCCACATTCTTTATGTGGGTACTTAGTGCTATGAACTGCTTTCATAGTGTCCCATAAGTTTGGGTATATTGTATACCTATTTACATTGAAACCTAGGAAGTCTATTTTCTTTATTTCTTCCTTGACCCAGTGGTAATTCAGTTGAGCATTATTCAGTTTCCATGAGTTTGTAGGCTTTCTGTAATTTGTGTTGTTGTTGAATTCTAACTTTAAGCCATGGTGATCCAATAAGACACAGGGGTTTATTCCTTTTTTTTTTTGCAACTGTTTTAGATTTGCTTTGTGACCAAGTATGTGCCCAGTTTTAGAGAAGGTTCCATGAGGTGATGTGAAGAGAAGAAGGTATATTCTTTTTTGTTTGGGTGGAATGTTCTATAGATGTCTAATAAGTCCATTTGAGCCATAACTTCTGTTAGTTCCCTATATCTCTCTTTTAAGTTTCTGTCTGCAGACCTGTCCATTGGTGGGGTGTTGAAGTAAGTGTGAGGTCTGATGTGCGATTTTAGTTTCAGTAATGTTTCTTTTACAAATGTGGGTACCTTTGTATTTGCGGTATAAATGTTCAGAATTGAGACTTCATCTTTATGGAATTTTCCTGTGATGAATATGAAATGCCATTCTCCATATCTTTTGATTAATTTTAGTTTGAAGTTTATTCTGCTACATAATAGGATACCTGAGGTAATGATGTCTGTCTTTGAAGTTGTGGTAGTCTACGGCCATACCAACTGAATGCGCCCAATCTTGTCTGAAGTTGAGGTATGTTTCTTGTATGCAGCAGAAAGTTGGTCCCTGTTTTCATATCCATTCTGTTAGCCTGTGTCTTTTTATCAGTGAGTTGAGTCCTTTGATATTAAGAGATATTAATTACCAATGATTGTTAATTCCTGTTATTTTTTAATTTGGTGGTGGTGATGGTAGTGTGTGTGCTTCCCTTCTTTGGGATTTCCTGGTGTGAGGTTATCTATTGCCTCTGTTTTTGTTGGTACAGCTAGCTTCTTTGGGTTGGAGTTTTCCTTCTAGCACTTTCTGTAGGGCTGTATTTATGTATAAGTATTATTTACATCTGAATTTGTCTTGGAATATTTTGATTTCTCTGTCTCTGGTGATTGAAAGCTTTGCTGGTTATAGTAGTGTAGGATGGCATCCATGGCCTCTTATTTTCTGCAAAACGTCTGTTGGAGACCTTCTGGCTTTCAGTTTCCATTGAGAAGTTGAGTGTAATTCTGATAGTTTTGCCTTTATATGTTACTTGGCATTTTCCCTTTGCAGCTCTTAATACTCTTTCTTTTTTCTGTATTTTTAGTGTTTTGATTAATATGTATCATTGGGACTTTTTTTGGTTCAGTCTATTTGGTGTTCTGTAAGCTTATTGTACCTTCATAAGTCATCCTTCTTTGGTTGGGAGACTTTCTTCTATGATTTTGTTGAATATATTTTCTGTGCCTTTGAGCTGGAATTTGATTTCTATGCCTATCATTCTTTTTTAAAATTATATTTAAATTAGAAACAATCTTATTTTACATATTAATCCTAATTCCCTCTTCCTCCCATCCTCCCATGCCTCCCACTGACCCCCATTCCATCCCCCATTCATCAAAATCTGTCAAGTCATTTTGTGACAGGGCCTAGGCCCCCCCTGTGTATCTAGACTAACAGGGTATCCCTCCATGGGAAATGGGCTCCCGAAGTCTGTTTATACACTAGAGATACATCCTGGTTCCATTGCCAGAGGCCCCATAGACTGCCCAGTGCTTCTAGCTGACACCCAAGTTCAGGGGGCCTGGTTTTGTCCTATGTTGGTTCGCCATCTATCAGACTGGGGTCCATGAGTTCCCACTTGCTCAGGTCAGCTGTTTGTGTGGGTTTTCCCTTTGTTTGTCACTTCTCCCTCTCTGAAACTGGATTCCAGGAGTTTGGCTCAGTGCTTGGCTGTGGATCTCTGCTTCTGGCATTTAAGTTAGTCATCATTCTCATTGTAGGAGAAGAGCATTCATGATAGCCTCTCCACTATTGCTTGGATTCCTAGTTGGGGGTCTTCCTTGTAGATCTCTGTACAATTCTTTGATGCCTGAATTCTCTTTAAACCTATAGTGATTCCCTTTATTGATGTGTCTATTTTTTTTGCTCTCCTCTATTCATCTACCCACTGAATCTTCCTGATCCCTCATGGTCTCCATCCCCCTCCTCTACTCCCCTCCTATTTCTCTTACTCCCTCCCCCTCTCCCCATGCTCCCCATTTGATTAGTGGCTCTTGTCACTTTCTTCTTCACTGGGGGAACATGTATGTCTCACTTAGGGTCTTCCTTGTTTCCTAGCTTCTCTGAAGGTATCAGTTGTAGGCTAGTAATCCTTTGCTTTATGTCTAATATCCACATATGAGTGAGTATATACCATGTTTGTATTTCTGTGAGTGGATTACCTTACTTAGGATGGTCTCTTCGAATTCCATCCATTTGCCTGCACATTTTAAGATTCCATTGTTTT